GTGGGTATTGCAGTAAAGCAGAATATATAAAACAGTCACTACTTTCCAGGGACTGGTTTTCTGTAGACTCAAACAGATCTGATTTTATGGCAGAGGTTCCCCCAAATTCATAGTCAGGGCTTCTCCTGAGCCACAGGGTCTTGTCCTGAATGACCTTTGTGCTCTGAGGCACAGGACACAGAACAGGAGAGGAAGAGACAAGACCTTGCAGTGCTATGGGGGAAAATAAAGGTAAAAAAGTAATACTTAGGAAATTCCCACTTGAAATGATCCTCAAAAGGATTCTCTGATTTCTTACAGATTTTTTTCTCTACTAAGAAAAAATCTGAACTAAATTTAATTATTCTGGCCTGTCCTCATAAGTAAAGAGGTACCAGCACCCCCAAAACTGGGGATGGGGAGGCAAAACAGACATCTCCCTACTGCACTGGCTTTTTAAGCACAAGCTGTGGACACGCTGCTTCTGCAAGACCAAGACAGGCAACAAATTAATCAGAGATGACAGGGTCATCCTGTTCCCACAAACATTCACATGGTCACAGTTATCAGCATTTTATTCTAAATAATTTTACATTTTTTAAATTCTAATAATCTATGTGATTCTATTCTAATTCAGCAAGGGCTTTCCAAAGGCAGGAGCCCTGCAAGAAGATCACAAGTCCATTTGAGATGATTTCACAAGACAGGTACGAGGTTGCAGAAGTGATCTCAGAAACAGAGACTGAGATTGAGTTATCTCCCATTTCCCTAAGACATTGCTACAAATCTATTTCTTCATATTACACATTAGGAAACACTAAAAAAAGCTAAGTGATGCTGGCAGGCTCAGTACAGGCTGCGAGAAGGAACCAAGTGGATTCACAAACGTTTCTCCAGTTGCCTGACGACGCCTGCAGCTCTGAGGGCTGCTTCCATATGTTATCAGAAACCAGACATTACAGCTTTAACCCATAAACATAAACCCCAACCCTCATCATTTCAAAGTCTCTACCAAGCTAAAACTGTACCGTTTGGGTTTTAAACACTTCTAAATAATTTAAGCAAACGATAAGCCAAATGTTATTTATTGTGTAGTGCTGGTTCAGGTATATTTTATATATTAGAAGTTAGGAAGGAATTCCTGGCTGTGAGGGTGGGGAGGCCCTGGCACAGGTTGCCCAGAGAAGCTGTGGCTGCCCCTGGATCCCTGGGAGTGTCCAAGGCCAGGTTGGACGGGCTTGGAGCAACCTGGGCTGGTGGGAGGTGTCCCTGCCCATGGAATGGATGGGCTTTAAGGTCCTTCCAACCCAAACCATTCCATGATTCTGTGATGACTGCAGGAGCACAGGAGAGCAGGGTTAGCCCAGCAATGCCTTCAGCAGCCTGGAATACTGAGGGACATGGTCTGTCCTTCACTGCCTTCCCACTCCTGCTACACTCTAATAGTTGATACCAACAGATCTCAGGAACCCCTTCTGCTCACTCTCAGGCTCTCCAGAGGAGCTACAGCCCTGCTCTGCAGGGTGAGGCACCGTCCAGTAGGGAAAGCAAAACCATTTCCAACCCAGTGCAATGGGAATATGAGAAGAAAATAGGGCAGTGTGTGCCACCACTGGGCTAAAGGCAACACCGCTCCAAACGAGCCACAAGAGCAGAGAAAGGAAATTGGAAGTGTTAAACTGATGATACCCTATAAACCAGCCACTATTTCTAGTCCTCATGAACTGTTACACAAGTTCAGCTATCACAGATCTGACATTCCTTAAAGGAAACCACGGCAGTGTCTCTGGTGGGGGATGCACACTGCACAGGAGTGCTCAGCACTCACAGCTGCCCCGGGGAGCAGCAGCCCTGCCCCATCTGCCAGAGGGACCTGCACCACAGGGATCCCTGTCCCACACCAGCCTCCTGCTGGATCCACAGCCTGACACTGGCTGGAACCAGGCACAGAAGTCATCCGGCCTTTTCCCGTCCCTCTGGGAACTAATTTCTAACGAGGTTCAAATCAGTTAGTTACAGACAGTACCAGTGAACTTCCAGGGGTCCAGTTGGTACAAGGGATCAGTAATCAACCAGAGACACAGCAGCTTCCCAACGTTCCCTCTCCTGCAGCAGACTCTGGCTGATGCCCTGGCAAGCCTCCCTGCTCTGCCTGTGTGCCTAATGATTCCCATGCAGAGAGATCCAGAATAAATTATTACAGAAACAGCCATTATTTCTAATCATCATAAACTGTTTTTCCTGTAAACTTCAATCACTGCTAATCACCGTCTCTTCCTTGCCATGGAGAAACCCAGTGCAATTAGGGGAGCAGAGCAACACACCTGAAACAGCACCACAATTAATCACATTTGGCTTATCACTCCCCTAAATTATTCCAAATGTTACTGCAAGTTTAAATATTTTGTCTCTCTGGTACATGAGGAGAGCCATTCATTTCTCCCTGTGAAAGTGTACGTGCACAAATCGAACACCCCAGTCCAGCAAAAGGGATTAAGCTCTAAATCACATTTGCAAGACAGATTTGCAGGGCAGGAGGAGTCACTGAAGCTCCTGAACAGGTTCAAGCACCTGTTAGAAATGCTGATAACAGAAGAGCATCAGTGTTCCAGCATCAGCCTCACCTGCTGTGCACAGAGATCTCACACACCCCCACCCTCCCACCACCTGTTCCTTATTTACACACAGCTCCAGGGGCACATCGAAGGGATGCTGCTGCCTGCTCTCCCTGACTCCTCACCCTTCCCAGGGGCCAGCTGGAGGGAGCAGGCAACTCCTCTGGTAGCTCCCACCAACAGCTTTAACGTTCCAAAGGATCAGATCCAGCTCAGAGAATGAGATGGAAAATTCAGGTTAAGAACTCTCTTCCCGGTGTTAAATAACCTGATAGTTCTGCAACAACTGCATCTGTAGGTAAATCAAGAAAACACTGAATAGCAAGAAGCTTCCTGGTAACACAAGCAGAGCATCACCCATCAAACTGCCACATTAGGAGGCAAGTGAACACCAATCTTTCCCTTAAATCTGCATAAATCCCTCTTTCCTCCACCAGTCTTCCAAGCTGGCCAAATAAAGGCACATTTTCTCAGGTTTTTAGTAGCACCAAAGCTCATAGCAGCAGGAAAAGTTGAGGCTGATCCTTCTCCTTCCTCCCCACACCCCCAGTCACCAGTGCCAGCACTCAGAACATGGAGACTCCTGAACCCACCCAGAGAGTGTTCTCTGGTGACACAGCACGGCTGGGAGGGCTCAGGGGAGCAGGGCAAGGCAGCACCACTGCAGCCAGGCAGCTTTGGGCTTCAGGGACTCTCAGAACTGTGTGCAGTGTGCCTTAAATGATCTGACCACTGACCAGAGCTCTGGGCGCCCACTGGGGCCACACAAAGCTAAAAAAAGCACTCAGGGCACACACATTTCCCTGGGCTGGTGCAAAGGATGAGACAAAGAAAAAGGTGCAAGGGAAAAAGTGAGACCAGGAATGTGGAGCAGGGACAGAAGAGAAGCTCTTAACAAGAGACAGACCACAAAACATAGGTTTTTTTCCCAATTACTCAGCACATTTCAGGGGTGGCTCTGGAGCACCTGTGATGCACAGCACGTCCCTGGGCCACACTTCTCATCCCTGCTCTGCACCACAGCCCTGCACCAGCTGCCCTCCATCCATCACCCAAACATGGCACAAAAACACTTGGAAAAACGATTCTCCAAGATTTCTATCACTGAATTATTTGGCCAAGAGACAAGATTCCAGCTGGAGGCAGGCACCAATGAAAAATATGACTTTCCCAAGCTGATATCCAGCAAAGCATGACTGAGCTCCTGGCAAAGGGCAGAGCAATCCAAACACATCCTGCAGCACCTGGACACCTGCAACAGAGGGGATGGACAGGGCACCACAGGAAGGGATTTCACAGACAAGGCTGGGCCTTCACATTTTAAGGCCCCTCTGGCCACTTGCTGATGTGATCTGTGACCAATAAGAGATTTTTTTAGTTTTTAAATAAATATAGAACAAAACTACTGCACAACCCTTGAGGTGTTTTCACCCAACACAATGTGGACCCACATCATAGAACTGTGCCTGCCTGGTCCCCACAGGGCAGAGGAGCAAATCTCCCCATATCCCACAGCACCCTCGGGGCACCCCAGAATCCATCCACACACCCCATCCTCACAAAGGCTCCTCAGGGAATTCCACAACCCTGCCTAACATCCCAGAGCACCAAGGGGTCACGCAGCCCCCTCACAGCATTCCTAGAGGCCCCAGCCCCAGAGCACCCCAGGGCACCCTAAATCCTGAGAGCAGCACCCAGACACCACAAGGGCTTCACTGCACTCTCGGGGGACCCCATGATCCTGCCCCACACCCCCTTAGGAAAGGGGTCACCCCAATCTCAGGGTGCCCCGAGGAAGCCCTACTCACCCCACAGCACCCAGGGGTTACCAGAAACTCACAGCACCCCAGAACACCCCAGAATCCTGCCCTGCATCCCACAGGGCCACTGCAACCGCACGGCACCCTTAGGGAACCCTAAATCCTGCCTCATGCACAAGGGACAGGGGTCACCCTGGTCCCACAGTGCTCCTGAGGGATCCCCCCGGTCCAGTGCCCACACCTCACATCCGCAAGGGGCCACCCCGAACTCGCAGCAGCCCCGGGGGACCCCAAACCCTGCCCGGGGGAGAGGGGTGACCGCTGAGGGAACCCACAGCCCTGGCCCACACGCCACATCACCAAAGGGCCCCCCACCTCAGCCTCACGGGAAAACACAGCGACAGGGGTCACATCACCCCGAGCCCCCCATACGGCCAAGGGGGTCCCCACACCCTCAGAGGACCCTCAGAGCCCCCCACACCGCCGAGGGGAAGGGTCGCCACAGCCGCACAGCACCCCCAGGGGACCCGGCGGGGCCGAGCGGCCACGCGGCAGCGGGGCTGCGATAAGCCCCCGGAGCCGCAGGGGGAGGAGGAGCGCGGCAGGGGCGCGGGGCACGGGGCCGGTCCGTGCCCCTCACACTCACCCGCCCCGCCATGTTGCCGCAGCGCCGACCGAGAGCCCTCCCCGCGGCCGCCAGGGGGCGGTGCAGCGCAGGCGCGCGGGGCGGAGGGGCGGGGCCACGGGGGAGAGGCCGCGCCCTCTGTGCGGCTGACTGTCTTCCATTGGCTGCTTGGCCCGTCGCTCACAGTGACTGACAGCAGTGCCTTCCCATCGGGCTGGCGGCGCGGGGCGGGGCGTGCTGCCAGCATGAGTCAGCGGGAGCGCTGAGGGGATTGGTCGGTGGGGCAGGGTGGGCGGGGCCGCGGAGAGTGGGCGGGGCCTTGGGCTCCCGGGAGTTCCGCGTGGGAGCGGGATGGGATGGGGATGGGACCAGGATGGGGGCGTGGGATGGGGCTGGTATAGGGCACGGGATGGGACATGGGATGGGAGCGGGATTGGACACTGAATGGGATAATGATGGGACCGGGATGGGGCACGGGATGGGATCGGGATGGGACACGAGTGTGCCCGAACGGATGGCAATCTGGAGGGGCCAGGTTGGTCCTGATCCCTGTCCCGATCCGTGTCCCGGACCCGTTCTGCGGGCAGCGCGGTGACGGGATGGGCCGAGCCCCGCGGTGTGAGGGTGAGCGGGGCCGGGCTGCCAGGCAGCCCCTGCTTTAATTCTTTACATTCTTTAATTTTGTTTTAATTTAATTTTACTTATTTTTAATAATCATTATTATTTATAATATTTAAATAGTGTGATTTACTATATTAATAGCATTAATACATTTTAATATATAATATATAATATATAATATATAATATTAGGTTGTTCCTCCATGTTCCTCAAAATGATCATCTCACTCCATGAGGATCAGCACTGCCAAGTCAGTTATGGCAATGCACTTTCTGAGTCCTTTCTAATAACTAATGGTGTGAAATAAGGCTGCGTTCTCGCACCAACCCTATTCACAATCTTTTTCAGCAGGATGCTCCAAAGGGCCACAGCAGATCTCGAGGATCAGGACGGGATCTACATCTGATACTGTACTGATGGAAACCTTTTCAACCTAAGGTGACTGAAGGCCCACACTAAGACCTTAAACCATCTTGTCTGGGAGCTGCTTTATGCTGATGACGCCGCCCTTGTCGCTCACACAGAAGCAGCTCTGCAGCGTTTAACATCCTGCTTTGCAGACGCTGCTGAGCTCTTTGGGCTGGAAGTCAGCTTAAAGAAGACAGAAGTTCTCCATCAAACTGCACCTCAGGAAGTCTTCCATCATCCCCATATCACCATTGGCCAATCAGAGCTCAAATCAGTCCAGCAGTTTAATTACCCAGGGAGCCTCATCTCCTCGGATGGTAAGATCGACGGAGAGATAGACAACAGGTTAGCAAAGGCATATAGTGCCTTTGGAAAGCTTCATAAAGAGTTTGGCAAAATAAACACTTGAAGAAAAGCACCAAGATCAGTGTTTACAGAGCTATAGTGCTGACTACTCTCTTATACGGATCTGAATCATGGGTCATCTACCATCACCACCTGCGTCTCCTAGAACGCTTCCATCAACGCTGCCTCCGTACAATCTTAAACATCCACTGGTCAGATTATGTGACCAATACATCTGTTCTAGAACAAGCAGCAGTCACAGGTATTGAGGCCATGTTGCTGAGAACACAGCTGTGCTGGGCAGGGCACGTCTCCAGGATGAAGGACCAACCACCCCCTCCCTAAGATCTTGCTTTATGGTGAACTTGCCACCGGCTGCCACAAGAGAGGAGCCCCAAAGAGGAGATACAAGGACTCCCTGAAACAACATCTCAGCCTTGGCCATATTGATCAACATAACTGGTCTACTCTGGCCTCCAGTCAGGAGGTCTGGAGACACACCATCTATAACGCTGCTGATGCCTTTGAGAACGCAGCAGGATCACCCTTGAGGAGAAAAGACAGCGCAGAAAGAATCGTGTCCTGCAGAATTTACCATCTAAGGAGTCTTTCTGCTGTGCCTTTTGCAACTGGACATGCCTGTCTCATATTGGCCTTTTTAGCCACCAGCATGCTTGTAACAAATGTGGGTAGAGACCTTTCCCAAATCTTCGTTCGCAAAGCCCAGCCATGATATTTTATCATGTAATATATAATATTTATTACATATTTTATATTTTTATAATTATATAAAATTATATTACATATATCTTTATATAATTACATATAATATAGTTATAGAACTTTAATGATTTAATAATGTTACCTTTTAATAATTTTTATTGTTCTAATTTAATTCTGTTTTAATTTAATTCTTAATCTGGCTTTAATTCTGTTCCTGCTCCAAAGAGGCCGTGCGGCAGCTGCTGTAAATGAGGTGCTGTGGCCTCTTCCAACGGCACATCCAATGGCTTACCTGCTTTCCTGGCAGTCCTGTCTGAGCACAGACTGTGGGTATCCAGCCAAACTTTGGGATGTGGATCCATGTGGGACCTGCTCCTGGGATTCAGCTGGAATAGTGCTTCACTCCAGAGCAGCAGATCCTCCTGGAGACACTGGTGCTGAGAGGTGGAAATGGGTCAGGGAGCTTGTCCCCCTGGGTGATGTTGAGCCAGAGACTGAAACCCCAGCAGTGCTCTGTGGTTGCATTTGGAGGGAGGAGGTGGCAAAGGCTCCCACTCCAAAGCTCAGGGCTGTCAGCAAAGCCAAGCCCCAAGGGAGCTTTAGTGCCTTAGCAGCCTCTCCCAGCAGCTTCCTGTGGGGGCTGACAGCAGGATAAAATATTAATACTGACTGTAACTGCTGGTTTGCTGCCTAGAACAGGTACCAGAGTCAGCTGTGATCCGGAGGGGAATGCCAAGTCCATGGAGAACTGGCACTGGGGGCACTTTAACACAGCGGGACAGGTGCCTCAGGCCATGGATGTACCTCAGTGCAGAGCACAGGCCTCGGGGATAAAGAAGTGGGGTCAGTGCCTAAATCTGCTGTGGGCTGAGCCAAGCAATGCAAGGATTGTTTTCTCTGTGTGCTGACACCACATTTTGCTCTGCAGCTGGAAAAGTGTCCAGCCAGGAGGTCATCCCTGGCAGAGGCTCTGTTCTCAGCTGTGTGGCCTTGAAGGAGTCTCATGCAGTAAGAAATGCAGGAAATGCAGCATAGCAATTTGAAGGGAAATAGCTGAGGGGGACAGTGAGGCAATGGCTGTGCTTCCCCACGTTTCACCATTTCAAAAGGGGGAGAAAATCAAAGTAAAGCTCCCCAAACCAAGCACAAAGGTCACACTGGCTCCTCTGCAGACCTGGGATGAAGGGGACTCCAGATCAACCGTCCCTGCTCCTGAGCCAGCCCCAAAGCCCAGCCCCAAATCCCTGCCCCACAGCCCTGTCCCACAGCCCCAAATCCCTGCCCCACAGCCCTGTCCCACAGCCCCAAATCCCTGCCCCAGAGCCAGCCCTTCCCCAGGGCAGGGAGCGAGGGATAGAACTGTGGTCTGGCACACACCATGGAACCAAGACATTCCCTACTGACACCCCATCTCCTGGAGTGAATCCCCTGCTTCCAGCAGACACATCTGTGTCTGGAGTCCCTGGGTGGGTTTAGGAAGGGGCTGGGCAGACCTGGACCCTCAGGCTCACTCCACTGCTCTCCCCACAACCACATGGGCTGGCAGCACACACTGAGGATATGAGAGATGGATCACAGCACACAAGACCACAATTCATAAAATAACATCTGGCCCTATGGGCACGTACTGCCTTCAGCAGTCCAGGCAGGGGTGGCAGCAAAAGTGCTGTCCTCAGAATCCATAAAAACAGTTTGAGGGGTGCAAACCAAAATAGCTTGAGAAGTGAAAACAAGTAGGGTTTGGCTTCAGGGCTTTTGGGTTTTCCTCAGTCCTTTTCAGTGAGAACAGAGATGTTCATGCACTTGGCAGAGCATCTAAACCAGCAGCCATGAGGAGAAGAAACAAGTCGTGATGCAGTGACCCCTCTGCTTGTCCTGGCTCCCTCTGCCAGCAGCTTCCCACTGCAGGCACATGAGGATGGCTCTGTCACTGGTGATGAGTGATGGAGAGTTCCTCTTGCTCCCATGGGAGATGTGCAGGACTGAAGAGACCTGGAGACAGCCTGGACCTGGGCAGGGCTGTTAAGGAAACATCCCTGTCCCACCATCCAGGAGCATTCTGGAAGTCAATCCTGCACCACCTGAGCTGGGACCAAAGCCCCTTCACAGCTACACCCCCCAGACTCAAGGTCAACCAGGTTTTCTCACCAGCTCCACCCCAGGTTTCCCAGAGCAGAGTCCCAGACATCCAGATCCTTAAAATAATTTTATCATGGTGTGAAAACTAAATAATAAAATCACAGCTTGAGCTGGTGCCTCCAAGGAGGGACCCCAAAAAAAACCTCCAGAGGGGGGCTGGGGATGACAGGGTATAGGGATGACAGGGGCTAGGGGTGACAGGGGCTGGGGGGGTGACAGGGTCAGGGGAGTGATGGGGTCTGGGTCTGGGGGGTGACAAAATCCAGAGGTGTGACAGGGTCAGAGGAGGGGCAGGGTCTGGAGGGGTGACAAGATCTGGGGATCTAGGGTCCTGGGTGGGGTGACAAAATCCAGAGGGGTGACAGGGTCTGGAGGAGTGACAGAATCTGAGGGAGTGACATGGCCTGGGGCAGTGACGGGGTCCAGAGGGGTGACAGGGTCTTGGGGGTGGCAGGGTCTGGGGAGTGACAAAATCCAAGGGGATGACAGGGTCTGGCGGGGTGACAAAATCTAAGGGAGTGACAGGGTTTTGGGGGAGTAATGGGGTTCTGGGAAGTGACAAAGTCCAGAGGAGTGACAGCGGTTTGGGGGAAAGACATGGCCTAGGGGGAGGGTGACAGGGTCGGGGGGAGTGATAAAAGTCTGGAGTGGTGCCAGTGTTTTTGGGGGTGCCAGTGTTTTGGGAGGTGTCAGGGTTTTGGGGGCTGCTGAGGTTTTGGGGGGTACCAGTGTTTTGGGGGGTGCCTGGCAGTGTTCTTGGGGGTGACTGACAGTTTT